AACGACGAGCTACTAACGGGCTACCTGTCAAAATCACGGGCTACCTCTTGCTGGTAGCCCGGCGTTGAAATTTTTCTAAGTGTCGACTGAAATTAGTTTTCTCAATTTGTAACGGGCTACGGGCTACTAATAGAAATCGCAACAAAAACGACGAGCTACTAACGGGCTACCTGTCAAAATCACGGGCTACTTCTCGCTGGTAGCCCGGCGTTGAAAATTTCTGAGTGCCATATGCACAAACTTTATTGACGTAAATAAATAACTAATGTCAGCTATGGTACTGGTTAATATTATAAATATATATGATTACACTACACTGATGAGGCCCATAAGGCCGAAACGGTACCGTCTGTAGTTAGATATCGCTCTATGGCCTTTCGGTCATATTGAGCGCTCTACAGGGTGAGCCATGCCGCTTACGCATTGCGCACGCTCACTGCTTGCAGTTTGAGCGCTCTGGCATGGTTTTGATATCCCACAATCGTGAGGCATCAAAGGTAACTGTAAATAGCAGTTACTTTCATCCTGCTCATCAGCACTACACTGATAAGGCCGAAACGGGTACCGTCTGTAGTTAGATATCGCTCTATGGCCTTTCGGTCATATTGAGCGCTCTACAGGATGAGCCATGCCGCTTACGCATTGCGCACGTCGCTTTTGTTAGGATTTATATTAGTAGCCCGTAACCCGTTGAATCTTAGGAAAACTAATATCACTCGACACTTAGAAAAATTTCAAACACGGGCTACCAAGCGTTGGTAGCCCGTGATTTTGAGTGGTAGCTCGTGGGTAGCCCGTCGTTTTTGTTAGGATTTATATTAGTAGCCCGTAGCCCATTAAATGTTAGGAAAACTAATTTCACTCGACACTTAGAAAAATTTCGATGCCGGGCTACAGCAGGTACACGTTGAAATGTTGGAAAAACGTTTTTCACTCTACATCCCAATTTTTTACAAGAACACAATCCTCACATTTTGTTTAACCCTTTATATAAATCTAAAGTTAGTTTATTGAAACTGTTCATGATTTATGTAGCTTTTAACGCCACATACCAATACAATTGGTCTTACTAATCCCAATTGCGCTTCAAGGGATTCTAATATAAGTTTTCAATATTTAAAAGTGTATATGTGGGCTTGGACAATTGTAGAGCCCGAAAGCTGTTAAGTAATGGCATAGGTTTATGTCTTTGATACATTTACCTTGAAAATGTATTGTACGGTGCAACAATAAGCGTTATGCATGAATGCGTTTATGCAAAATACAACGTCTGATTGTGCTTTATAAGCAGCCACTTAGGGGCCGATTACATGGAGAACTTTCAACCCCGGGGTTGAACTCAGCCCTGTAAACCGGGTTGAAATCTTTTGCGATTACATGGACGATTTCAACCCCGGGGTTGAAACGCAATACTATACGTTCTCGGCATCGATTCCCGGAAGTAAAAAAGCCTTTATTTTGTTTTCTTGTAATAAATAATCACTACCACGTATGCTCGAATAACTCATGATAATTTCAGCCCTGGGTTGAAACGATTACATGACAAAATTTTCAACCCAGGGCTGAGTTCAACCCCGGGGTTGAACTCAGCCCTGGGTTGAAAATTTTGTCATGTAATCGCGCGGTTGATTTTGATAGAGTTTTGTATTACAGACAGGGCTGAAATTTCAACCCGGTAAACAGGGCTGAGTTTAACCCCGGGGTTGAAAATGCTGCATGTAATCGGCCCCTTAGTCGGTGTTGTTCATTTTTAAATGCCACGTCAACATGCTGGAAAGGTGGATTGGAAATCGGTTGATGGAGCTTTTGACAAACCAAGAAGACTGCATTTGCAACAAGACAAGAATCACTTATATCGTTGTCCTGTAAATGGATGCGAACACCCTGGATTTAGCAGTTGTCGCGGTTGCAGGAAGCATGTTTACGAAAAGCACGCTTGGTATAAATATTTCGATCAAAAACCTATTGTTATTTCAAATACTGTTGAAGAAAAAGGCAATGTAATCACATCAAAAGCCAGACATACAATTCCTTGTTGTTCTACGGAAAATGATTTATGTCGTTCCCTTTCGGTGTGGTTACAAAGTACGGCTGGGGGCGGCAAGTCTGAAAAGCAATCACAAATTTCAGTAACAAGGGCTCTCAAGTTTATAACATTTTGTTGTTCTGAAACGGGCGAGGACGAATTGAATGCGACTTCGTCTTTAGAAATTATAGATTATTTTCTTGGTTCTTCGAAGTTGTTAACGGGTTTCCTTGATTATCTTCAGGGTACTTGGAAAATGGGAAATTCCGGCCAATTAGGTTACATAACAAGCATATCTGAGCTGTTAGATTTTCGAAAGTTTAACTCTCCCTCGGGCGCCGTACTGCAGAATTTCTCTGTTACTGAAGTTTACATCAAGAGAGCAAAGAAATGTTTGTCAAAAGTAATGAGGTCGCACTGGACGACAGATCTTGACATAGAAACACTTGAATCAAGACGAAGTTGGGCAAGCTTAGCCGAACTCCAAACTGTGATACCCTTCCATATACCACGTTATAAGATTATATTGGACGAATGCAAAAACAAATCACCTGTTGTTAGCGCAACGAATCTTACATTCGCTACCCGATTCCTAGCAGTATTTATGTTTTTTAAAGTTAAAGGCTGTAGGCCTATGACGTATCTGCATTTGACGGTTAGCATGTTTGAGAGTGCAAAACGAAATAAAGGAATGGTCGATCAAACCACATTCAAAACTGCCAAAAAGTATGGCTTTGATTCCTTATATTTTGACGAAATTAGTTTGGATGTTGTTGATAATATGATAATAATAATCATGATAATATAATGATATATCATGATAATAATCATGATAATAATAATAATAATAATAATAATAATAATAATAATAATAATAATAATAATAATAATAATAATAATAATAATAATAATAATAATAATAATAATGGAAACTTTAATAATTTTGTTATATACTATATATATACAATTGTAAATCTCACTAATTTAAGGTAACTTACAATTGGCTATTTGAATCACAACTATATGAACTAATAAAAATTACAAGACAGAATACATGAAAATATGTAAATATACAAGACAATCAGATATTTCAAATAGTTAACAAGTCCGGACTTTCCCATTCCTTAATAATAATAATAATAATAATAATAATAATAATAATAATAATAATAATAATAATAATAATAATAATAATAATAATAATAATAATAATAATAATAATAATAATAATAATAATAATAATAATAATAATAATAATAATAATAATAATAATAATAATAATAATAATAATAATAATAATAATAATAATAATAATAATAA